TTTTGAGAATTTCAAAAAATTTATCGTCAAAGTTGAAATTCAATTCTGTAGAAAAAATAAAAGAGTTATAAGTGGTGGAGATCGAAATATGGATCATTTGAATTTAATTCATATGTTGAATCATTAGGAATAATTCATGGGACTACTCACCATATTCACCTACGTCTAATGGGGTAGCTGAGAAGAAAAATAGAAACTTAATTGGTTTAACTAGTGCTATGCTATTAGAATCGGGTGCATCTTTCAATTTTTGGGTTGACTGCTTGTCATGTGTTAAATAGAGTACCACGTAAAAAGACAAAGATTACACATTTTCAAATATGGAAAGAGTATAAGCCAAATTTGGGATATTTGAGGGTTTAGGGATGCTTAGCTTTTGCAAGGCTAACAGATCTAAAAAGACCTAAATTAAGTTCTAAAGCTACTACTTCTGCCTTTCTTGGATATGTAGTGAATAACACAGCCTATAGATTTTTTGATACTGAAAAAACAATTTTTGAATCAAGTGATGCAATTTTTCATGAAGAAAATTTTCCTTTCAAGTCAAGAAATAGTGGGAGGTCAAAATCATGGACAAACTTCTACTAATTTTGGATCTCATACTCCAAGTGATAATAATGAAAACAATTCTCTAGTTGAATTGAGAAGGAGTAAAAGAGTCTATGAATGATGAGATAGAATCACAAATTTCTAATAAAACTTGTAAATTAGTTGATTTGTCACTAGGTTTTAAAACCACACGGTGTAAATGGGTCCTGAGAGAAAAGTTAAAACTGAATGGTAATATATACATAGTATAAAACAAGACTTGTTGCGAAAGGTTTTAAACAAACAGAAGATATAGAATTTTTTTTATACGGTTTCCCCGGTTACTAGAATCACATCCATTAGATTGCTAATAGCAATTGTTGCAATTTTTTACTTGAGTATTCATCAAATGAATGTGAAAATGGGCTTTTCTAAATGGTGATTTAGAAGAAGAAATTTATATGGACCAACTTGAAGATTTTATAGAACCCGAGATTGACGACGAAGTGTGTAAGCTTACTAAATCCCTATATATCTTAAAACAAGCCCCAGAGCAGTGACATGAGAATTTTGATTAATGCATGCTTAAAAATGGTTATAAACTGAATGAATGTGATAAATGCATATATTGCAAATCATGGGAAGATTCACGTGTTATTATTAGCCTCTATGTTGATGATCTACTCATTTCTTGCTCAAATATTTTTGTCATAAATGAAACAAAAAATTTATTGATGAGCCATTTTGACATGAAAGATCTTGGTGAGGCTAATTTTATTCTGGGTATGAAAATAACTAAATCGTCTGATGGTTTTTTCCTTGACCAATCACATTATATTGAGAAAATACTTAGAAAGTATAATTATTTTGATTGCTAATATGTGTCCACTCCTTTTGATTCAAATGTTCACGTGTTTCCCATTAAAAGTAAAAATGATGTAATAAATCAAAAGGAGTATGCAAGTGTGATTCGTAGCCTATAGCATGCAACTGATTATATGAAACCTGATATTACATACGCAGTAGGAGTTCTTAGTAGGTTTACAAGTAAGCTATGTAAACAGCATTGGCATGCCATCGAACGTGTTATGCAATATTTATTGGGTACAAAAGACTATGGCATATTATATAAAAAAAAAGTATCCCACTGTTGTTGAAGCATTTTCTGATGTTGACTTGAATACTTTGTCAGGTGATTCTCTATCTACTACTCAGTATATATTTACCTTGGAGGTAGTTCCTGTGGTTATTAGATGATGGGAATAATAAAGCATAAATTTGTAGGTGAGTCGAGGGTAGCCCCCGCTTGGCCGATTTCTCGAAATCTGAGGAAAATCTCTCATCTGATGACCCTGAACAAAAAGGAGCAGCTCTCGATACTACTATTTGTTGGAAATGTAAAAAACAAACAATTATTGTCAACTCTACTATGGAAGCAGAGCTTATTGCTTTAGCTTCAGCTTCAGCTAGTGGGGAAGCAAGTTGGCTAAGAGATTTGTTATGTGAGATTCCAAATTGGGGGAAACCAATACCTCCATTTTTAATTAATTGTGATTGCACTGCTACAATAAGTAAAGTAAAAAACCGCTTTTATAACTGTAAATCAGACCTATAAAGAAGAAAACACAGTACAATGAGATCTTATTTAAGCAATGGTAATATTAATATGAATTACATTAAATATTGTGATCATATTGTAGATCCATTGACAAAAGCCTTGACTAAGAGCAAAGGTCAGGAACACATCGAGGGGGATGGGGTTGACTCCCTTATCACTGTCATGAGCCATATATAAGGATACCAACCTAGTGATGAAAGATCTTGAGAACTAGGTTCAACGAGTAAAACGAATTATAAGGTAACCGTAAAAATGCACTATTTATATATATTGATCCATCCCTATGATGTGAGTACATTAATCCTATAACATTTTGGAGGTTTGAGTTTTTAGATAAACTCTTAATAAAGTATGTAGGCTCTTATAAGTGGGGTGTCGTCCTAATAGGATCACCCTTGACAGATTTTACCTATATGAGTGTGAGAGTGAAACCACTATCTATGAGGATATAAGGCTTATCCTCAAAATACACTCATGAAATACTCGGATCAGCACAATGTTGGGTGTGTTGCCCTAACCTTGTCGTTTGTAACTATGTAAAAACAAAGTTATGATTCAATAAAGTTATGTTTTCTTATTCAATCAAGTTGTTGTTGAATTTACAACATTGCATTGTCCAAATCCAATAAACTAAACATCTAAGGTTATTATTATGTAACCAGGACAGTATATATACTGGGTATATATTTGATATACCCTTGACATACTAGTGTATAATGTCTGGGGAATAACCTAAAGAGTTTATAGTATATGGATAAGGCTGGGTACCTTATCTTGCAACGCTACGGATACGACCCACTTTGAAAATGTTACAAATGACCCGATCCAGGTCATTCATGTGGAGATATGCGAGTGGAGGTATCCTATACAATGAGCTTGTATAAGACCAGACAAATAGTCATTTTTTAGATGTAACACCGTTAACTAATAGATTGCTATTTCATAAGATGACCAGGGAACTCATTCTCCATCTTGAGTGAGTTATGGACTCCTGCTCGTGAGGGCTTGTCCTTTGATTTGTATGGGTGAGAGTGGCCCGAGTCGCCGACTCACCATTCCTACCATTTTGGGGACGAGGCCAAGTGGGAAGGTGGGAACATAACTACACACGATTGAATTTACTATTTTGTGATCTTAGGGGAGTATATGAGTGTTCTCTTAAGTGCTGACTTTGGGACTTGACTATGGGCCCTACCCTCTCACTACCTGAGAGGGACTTCCAGTTATTTGTCGGACCATAACTGTGTTATTTATTAGAGCAGCAGTGATATTTAAACAGTAAGATGTAACTCGGAGTTAAAACGGTAATTTGACTCAGCTAGAGTTACGATCACTTGTGAAGGATTGACTTACTGTTAATGATGGTATATCAGTGGACACAATAATATTCTACAGTGAGAATAGTGCTACTGCGAGTCTTTGGTGGAGTGACTCGTAGTTAATGAATGTTGATTAACTTGGTTAATGAGTTTGACTGATTAATTTTGTATCGTTGGAGCTTTTGATCTATAAGTTCATTAGGTCGCCTTGCTAGATCAAAATGAATAAAACGAGCATCAAGAATTATGAAATAATTTGAAATGTTCAAATTATATATGTGAATGTATACAATATATATTGATTCATTATATATATAAATATATATTGATTTTGGATAAAGACTCAAAAGTAATATTATATATTATGAGAGAAATATTTGAATCAGATTCAAATAATAATTAATATGAATTGGTTATTATTTTTAAAATTATAAGTCACAACATCATGGTTGGAGATATATCTCAATTACCACTAAGCTATGTTCACTTTGGCATTATTAAAACTATAATTTAGACAAGAGAGGTGCATGTTTTAATGAAATGTGTTATATTTAATTAAAGGGTAAATGATGAATGGTTGATTATTTATTTAATTAATGCTTTGATTTTATTAATTATTAATAAGATTAAGAATTAAATTAGTTCTTTTTTTAATAATTAATTAAACTCACCTGCATAATTGTAGGGGAGTGGGTAGTTTTATGGCATGGGGTAACCCCTAGCGTCATTCTTATTTACAAGTGCAGAAGGGTGTTGTAGTTCGTGAAGTTGTTATTCCCCGCAGAAAGAAAGCAAGATCTCTCTCATAAATCTATCTCCCTTTTCTCAATTATCTCTATATCTATATGGGTCCCCACAAGCCTTGTAACGCCCCGCGTTACTCAAGTTAGATTTAATCTGGACTCTCGAGATTCTACCCCAAATTAATTAAATTTATATCGGCATAACTTATTTTATTTTGCTTTATTCTTACTATATTTTATTTTGGATCATTCAGGAGTCATAACGATTTATAATTAAAACATATGAGACATTCTAGTTCTTTAAACCTTTGGACCATGTGTTAGAATTTAGAATTTGGGCCTTTTTCTTTCAAGTCCAAACAAAAGGGAAACAAAAGAAAAAGAGGGGGAAAG